CCTGGCCTTGCCTGCATCTCAAATTGCAAATTGTTACTTACAGTGTACCTGTGAGTACTCGTAAGCAATCTACCTCATTTTTGCTCAATTTTTTTTTTTTTTTTTGTATTGCTTAGTCTTGCTTATATTTTTTGTTTTGTATTTCCATATCTTGTGTTTTGTATAGTCCATGTTTACATGTTTTTTCTTTAATCTCATTAATTGCCTAGGTTGCCTAGCCTAGCCATACTCCCTTACTCCTTTGTACCCCTGTAAGCCCCTTTTGTGTTTGTTTTGTACAGTATTGTGTATATATTTTTCCCTATTTTATAGCTTTTTTCTACTTATTTCTGATTCTACAATCAGCTTTTTTTATGCAGTCAAGTATAGACCCTGAACTTAACCTCTTATCCACTATCTATGACAATAATCACTTTAATGATCTAAATTGCAGATATTTTGCAGCACATGATGTAAACAATGTATTAACTCATAATCACAATATCTCTGTAATCAATTTGAACGTTAGATCCCTAGGTAAACACTTCGATGATGTTAGTGCCTTGATTGAAACTATTGGCAACAAATTCTCTTTTATTATACTTACTGAAACATGGTTGAAAGAGGATACTACTCAACTCTTTAACATGCCTAACTACTCAGCAATTCACAACTGTCGTCAACTTCAGAGAGGTGGTGGCACTGCTCTTTACTACCACCAAGAACTAACATGCTTAAAAGAAATTAGAACTAGAGACTGCTATGGGGAGTATATCTTCGCCAGCTTCAGAGTCAAGGGTGCCGAGTCTGTCCTGTCTGTGGGTGCAGTCTATAGAATTCCCAACACTGCTGTGTCTGGATTCAACTCAAACCTTAGAAATCTAATACTTGATAACAGACTGAACAAAAACCACCTAATTATCGCAGGGGACTTTAATATTGACCTCTGCGAGCCAGAACACCCTACTGCTGTTAGCTTCCTCAACTGTATGAATTCCTGCCTCCTCATACCCTTAATCACTAGACCTACTAGAATCACTGATAGCACTGCCACGACTCTAGATCACATCTGGACCAACATAACCTCTCCGCTTACTTCAGGTATAATCACCGATAGCACTACAGACCACTACCCCACATTTCTCTTAACTAACATTAGCAAACCACCTCTAGAAACAAGGGAGTTAAGCTTTAGGCTGCACAATGAAACTGCTATAAACAATTTTATAACTGCTGCTGATAATGTCAACTGGGAGTCCGAGTTAGGTAACATAGGGGACATCAACCTAGCAGTGCAATCTTTTCTACAAACAACTCTTAGCCTTTATAACACCCACTGTCCTAGGCTTACAAAACAAGTCACAAGCAAAAGGCTTAACAATCCTTGGCTTACAAAGGGAATACTGAAATCCATTAACAAAAAACACGACCTTGAGAAGAAGTATAGGTTAGGAATTGTCTCCAAAGAATTCTCAAAGAATTACTCATTATTGCTATCTAAGATAATTAGACGAGCCAAAACTAATTACTACGAAGATAAATTTACTCAAATAAAGAGCAACATTAAACAAACTTGGAGCACAATTTCACAAATATTGGGATCAAAGAAATCTTTAAATAACAAACCGACTCTCCTGTCTAATAACGATGGTCAGCTTTCAGCCTCTGATTCTGCTATTGAGTTTAATAGGTTCTTCTCTTCCATTGGTTCATCCCTTGCAAATGATATTCCATCTTCCAGTACTGACATTAAGGACTATCTTACAGGTAACTATCCACAGTCTCTGTACCTAAAGCCTATTAACTCCACTGACGTCAATGAGATAATCCTTTCCCTTAAAACCAAGTCTGGTGCCCTTGAGGAGATACCAACTTTAATTTACAAAAAAGCCTCCAGATCTTTAGCCCCTGCTATTGCTTTGCTCTTCAACAAGTCACTTGAACTCCAAACCTTTCCAGATATTCTAAAAAAAGCGAGAGTAACGCCTGTCCACAAATGTGGTGACCCCACAGATGTTAACAACTACAGACCTATATCAATCCTGCCAAACTTGTCAAAAATTTTTGAAAAACTTATATACAAGCAGCTTTACTCATATCTAGCCAAACTCAATATACTTAGCCCTTGCCAATATGGCTTCAGACCCAAAAAAAGCACTAACGATGCACTTATTAGTATGCTTAACTCGATTCATACAGCTCTTGATAAAAAGGAGTTCCCTGTTGGGTTATTTGTGGACCTGCGTAAAGCTTTTGATACTGTCAACCACCATAACCTTCTTCTTAAATTACATCATTATGGAGTCAGAGGACACTCCCTACAATACCTCGAGTCCTACCTTACTGACAGGCTCCAATATGTTTATGTGAATAATACAATTTCTCCCACCCTACCCATCAACATTGGTGTTCCTCAGGGCAGCATACTTGGCCCTCTCCTCTTTCTCATCTACATTAATGACCTTCCAAATGCCTCCCAACACCTCAAACCAATTCTATTTGCTGACGACACAACCTTCATTTACTCCAGTCCTGACCCTCTTGCTCTAAATGCCACAGTAAATACTGAGCTAAATAAAGTCCATCTTTGGCTAACTGCCAACAAACTCACCCTTAACATTGACAAAACCTTCTATATTCTGTTTGGCAATAAATCCTCTAGTCTTATAAATCTCAAAATAAACAATACCCAAATTTGTAACAAATTAGATGGCAAATTCCTTGGCATTCTCATTGACCACAAGCTGAATTTCCAGGGACACATTCTAAATATATCTAAAAAAGTTTCAAAAACTGTGGGCATTCTTTCTAAGATCAGATATTATGTACCACGCCCTGCCCTGGTGACTCTCTATTACTCCCTTATCTATCCTTATCTCAACTATGGTATTTGTGCTTGGGGTTCTACTACCCAAAATCACTTACGTCCTCTAATTACCCAACACAAAGCCGCTATTAGAACAATATCCAACTCTGGCCCCAGACATCACTCGGTACCCCTACTCAAATCTCTTAATATGTTAGATATTAAGTCACTGCACATTCTCTCATGTGTATTATACATATATAAAACGCTAAACTATAATGCCAATCCTGATCTTAAAAGCTTCATAGTAGGTTGTAACAGAACCCATGAGCACCACACCAGAAATAAATACAGTTTTGATATTCCTAGAGTACGTCTTAATCAAACTAGAAATGCTCTGCAAATCAAGGGGCCCAGAATGTGGAATGACCTTCCCAACCATGTTAAAGACTGTACCTCTCTCAACCAGTTTAAGATAAAAACTAAACACTACCTAATAAATTCCCTGTAATCTACCTCACTCCTCTATTGTCAACCCATGTCTGTTATTTTTTTTTTTTTTTTTTTTTTTTTTTTTTTTTAATCAACACTGTTTGTCAACCTATTGTATTTGTGCTGCTTTTTCAGTCATGTTTCCCCCTTTTTTTTATCTTTATTTGTATTTGTTCTCAACATCTTTTATTCTTTATGCTCAATTAGTATTAAGTCCTAGATATTAATGTTTTCTTGCCCGAAACGCATTGCGTAATAGTGGCTTTAGGCATTGTATGTACTAGCTCTATCTATATATCAATCCATTAATGTAACATCACTTGGAACACTCCCGTCAGCCCTCTGATGGGAGTGTTTCCAGATGCCCCAGGGAAGGAAACCCTGACCACACATGGGCAGTACTTACAGAGTGCCCAGGGAAGTTGACCCTGAGCTCATGCAGTTCCAGTACACTAAGCTCCTGATCAATGCACTCTTGTGTAGAAGTCTAAAAAGGCAAAACACCACCAAAACAGAAAATCGTGGCCAGAGCAAACCAATGACCTCCCGGCACAAACATCAGTCAAGAAATGGGCTGGTTCTTAACCACCAACGATGGGAAAGATGGAGCTAACTAACGGAGAGCTGGTTGGATGAAGTTTTGGTTCATTTTCTTATTGGAGGAGTTCTTTTGATATTTTGAGGGTGTATTTAATTTTTTAACCTGCAGTAGTCTGTTTTGATTTGCCTACCTTTCTGGGTGCCATCCCTGGTCAATGGCAAGAAAATAAATTTAAATGTAAAGTGTTCATGAGCCATTGCTCCTTGCATCTCTGTGAGGAGGCCAGGTCCTGGCTCGTGGTCCTCATTAGGCATACAAGAACTCTTTGACTGATGACTCAATGTAGTGTGGTACTTGATCAGTAAGCTAGCTTCATGGAGTCGACAGGGCTCCCCATAGAAAATTGAACTTGGATATTGTTTTGGATAAATATAGTATAACTGAAGTCATCACAATAAATGAGTTCAGTACATGTGAGAATACAGGGGCCAGATTCACGAAGCAGTTATACAAGTACTTACTAACGTGTACATCTTTCCTCAATCTTTGACGGCTTTGGTTACATTTATTAAACAGTTTACAAGCATGAAAGCTTCCCAAGCAACTGTTGTTATTGTAATAAACAGCCTCCTGGTGCTTCGAAGCTCATTAACTATTTAATAATTGTAAAAAAAGCCGCCAAAGATTGAGAAAAGATGTACAGATTCATAAGTACTTGCATAACTGCTTCGTGAATCTGACCCCCAGTACTGTTATTACAGTACTATACAGTACAGTACTGTTATTACAGTATTGTGCAATACAGTACTCTTAAATTGTAGCCATGACTTATTTGATGCATCACGCTATTGTGATTTCTGTGTGTAAATATCAAAAGTTTTGTTAGATGACCACCAAAGAAAAGCCTAAGATTCTGTAATGGTTATCATGATATGTATCAGGAAAAATTCTCTGACTAACATGGACATCAAGAAAAAGATAAATAAACAAATTACAAAGATTTACAGCTTCCACAGGAAAAGTCAATTTGTAACATTAGTTCTGAAATTTGTTACAGGCCAACTGAAACACCACATTAAACTTATCAATGAAGAACAGTAATTAATATTATCAAATAAAAATATGCAAGGAACATGTCATTTATTCCATTGTAAGTAGAGACATGAAATGCGTATATCTTACCTCAAGAGCATAAATCTGTTGCACACCAATGTAGAGTATAACAGTGTCTCCTTCTTCTATCGCTTCTTTACACTTGCTAAAGCTCATGATTACACCACAAATTCAAGCCTAAAAAATATGGAATATATTAATTATTTGAAAAGTTCAGTACTGTATTACTGTGCTATGAAAACACTGAATAAAATTTCCCAGTTAATAAAATTTTTAATACAGTAAACCTGTATTGAAGTTTTCAGCTAAAATGAGAATATTAATTGGAATATTCTTTGCCACAAATTATTGGCAATATCTATATAATACTAAGCCTACAGTGTGGCACTTCATTAATAGTATTAGGCTATGCCCAGGAATTTTGAAGATATGAAAATATTATCTGGCCATAGTTAAAGTGACGAGCAAAACTCTTCCCACACCACCTACACAACAACAAGATTAGTATCATAAATTTCATGAGGCTATACATAAAAAGGAGCAAGCATCACTCCCTCCTATATTACCCCTTCCCCTGTGTTTTACCCATTTATATCAGATGGAAAGTTTATTCAAATTCCAACAAATGTTATTCAGAATTTAAATCCCCTGAAATGATAAAATCAACTAGAGCTCTGAGGTGACTTTAATAATAATAATAATAATAATAATAATAATAATAATAATAATAATAATAATAATTAACACACAAATCACAACAGCGTGACGCATCAAATGAACAAATCCACAAGGGCCGTGATAAGGGTCCTGTGGATTTGTTCAATAATATTTTATTCACAAGAAGGTACAATGGCTTGGTGAGATTACATAAGACTTGTATTTTTACATTCTTGCAAAGCCACTACTAACACGCATAGCGTTTCGGGGCAGGTCCTTAATCTAACATATCAGGTAAGATAAAAGGGTACATTGTAGCAAGCTTTTATATCAACAAATAACTATTGTACAATATAAGTTGACAGAGGTGATTACACTGGTAAGATATATATCTTAAGTACTTTGGTAGAAACTGAGGATGAAATTAGGTACTTTTTGGTTTTACTTTTGAATATTGGTTGGACAATTTTTTAATTCGTCAGGGAGTGAGTTCCAAAGATTGGGCCTTTTTATTTGCATGAAGTGTTTGCAGATTTAGTCCAACTCTGGGGATATCAAAGATATTTATTTCTGGTGTGGTGCTCATGGGTTCTACTATGAAGGAAGTTTTAGATCAAGATTAGCATTTAAGAACAAGTTTTGTACATGTAGATAGCACAAGAGAATGTATAGTGTACGTTTAGCATGTTAAGGGACTTAAACAGAGGGGCTGTGTGTTATCTGAATACAGTTTGTTATAGTTCTGATAGCAGATTTATGCCGAGTGATGACGGGCTTGAGGTAGTTTGCAGTGGTTGAGCGCCATGCACAGATACCATATCAATGTAAAGTAAGTAAAATATGTAAGACAGGGATAGATTAGCGTGTAGTATGAGAGGAGACCAGAGTGGGGGAACATAATATCTGATTCTTGAAAGTATACCAACCGTTTTTGAAACTTTTTTAGCAGCAATGTGTCGTATGTGGGTGCTGAAGTTCAGTCTCTTGTCTATGTACAGGAACTTTCTCCGGTGTATCCCAACAAATGACTAGGTAACAACTATTATTCACAATTGACCATCACACCTACACCGTGTACAAGGGTGAATACCGGGTCTGGAGTACAAATGAGTGAATAGATGAGTACAAGCGAGGGAGTACAATAGTAGCCACCAGCCTCTTGTTGTTGTTGTTCCGGAACACGCGGGGACGGCCCGGGCAACACTACCCTCACGGCGGACCACGGCCTCACGGCGGCCCTCTGGGACCCACTGTCTAACAGCGGCCCTCTGGGATCCACTGTCTAACGGCGGCCCTCTGGGATCCACTGTCCCACGGCGGCCCTCTGGGACCCACGGTGGCCCTCTGTCTAACAGCGGCCCTCTGGGATCCACTGTCCCACGGCGGCCCTCTGGGACCCACGGTGGCCCTCTGGGACCCACTGTCTAACGGCGGCCCTCTGGGACCCACTGTATAACGGCGGCCCTCTGGGACCCACGGTGGCCCTCTGGGACCCACTGTCTAACGGCGGCCCTCTGGGATCCACTGTCCAACAGCGGCCCTCTTGGATCCACTGTCCCACGGCGGCCCTCTGGGACCCACGGTGGCCCTCTGGGACCCACTGTCTCACGGCGGCCCCTTATATGAATTATCTGGTCTTGGTGTTAAAGGGAGATTATTGGGCTGGATAGGGGATTATCTTCACAAAAGGAAGGCTCAGGTGTGGTATCAAGGTTGTATGTCAGGTGTGAGATCCTTTGAACTCGGCACACCTCAGGAAGGAGTGTTGAGTCCCACCCTGTTTAATGTACTAATGAATAAGATAGCATCTGAAAGATACTCCAATGGGCTAACTCCGATCATATATGCCAATGATATTTTGTTTCAGGGCAAAGATATTTCTAAGGTTCAAACGGTGTTGGATAATTTCGGTAACCTGTGTCATCATATGGGACTGGTGGTTAATAAAGACAAAACTAAGTTTGAATGTGGAAGTCGGAGGCCCATTATATTGAAAATAAACGGTAAAAATATAGAGAGTTAATATATATAAATATTTAGGTATATATATTGGATATACCCATGAAAGTTTGGAAGCCTCGTCACGGCCCTTGTGGATTTGTTCATTTGATGCATCACGCTATTGTGATTTCTGTGTGTAATATACACTGATGGTTCCTTACACCCTCCCACAGGTGCTGTTGGAAGTGCAGTTGTCCTTAAAATGGGTGATGGCTTGTATTTTGAGTGGAGAGTTCGTATAGACAACTAGATAAATGTGTAAATATTTAATTCAAAATAATCTGCCAGAAATTTTAGCCAAATATCTCCAGTTTGCTAACTGTAGATGGCGTAATGCTGTATGTAAAAGAAGACTTATAAAGCAATGATGAATTAAGAAGAATGGGATGCTCAGAATATGTATGATGCAATAAAGTAGCTGAAAATGATAGCAAACTGACACTGAGGTTATGCTCCAGGGCAGACACAGCAACAGCAGAGGACGTTACTCATCTGCATAATGTGATCAATGCAGAAGCGGAAACTCAAGCCCTTATAATGGGAGACTTTAATCACGTGATAATAGATTGGGCGAATTTAACATAAGGAGAACAAATTTTTGACCTAGTGCAGGACTCCTTTCTCATACAGCATGTGATAGAGCCCACCCGAATTAAATTTATTTCTTTATTATGCACCCCATACCCATCCCGTGGACGGTGGTGTAAAGGATTACAGAAACACATAATCGGCTCAGGAACTGAACCCTCTAGTTCGTTTAGCTAAGCAAATAACAAACCTGAAGGAATAGCATTCTACATCTTGTACTAACATCAGAAGAGGGCATGGTGGTGGGGTGGGGGGGGGGGGGGGAAGAAATAGCCTAAGCTATTCTATCCCTTTGAGATGTATTTCTTTCTCGTCTCAATAAACATACTTGAACTTGAAGGCATGGTTAATCAAATACAAGTAGAGGAAGGGAAGGTAATTATCTGGAGAAAGCGAACAGCCATTACTACTATATATCACTTGGAAGGGATCAGGATAAGGATTTGGATTGGGACGGGGGGTGAAAGAAGAAATGAATGGTGCCCAACTACTTGGACAGTCGGGGATTGAACGCCGACCTGCATGAAGCGAGACCGTCACTCTTTAAGGACAAGAATAAATTTTAATAAAAAATATTTTTAATTGATAGTGCAGTTTTTGTATAATATAAAACTAATATATAATATAAGTTTAATTTCAAGAAATCATTGCGATGAAACAGATTATAGATGTGATGGTTTGGTGTACAATTAACAGGTTTACTGCAGTTTTATCATCAGTGGTGCTGGTGAAGATAACATAGTGTGCTTATCACTGATAACTGAGTGGGATTAAATATGTGTGTGTGTGTGTGTGTGTGTGTGTGTGTGTGTTCGCGCGCGCGAGCGCTTTCGCATTAAATTAAAATTCAATTCTCTGACAAGTGACATAAAAGCCATCAGGACTTCGTACGTCATCAATAACACATAAATGAATATTATTTATCTCGATTGTGCCAAAGTCATAGTCCAGGTAATCACTATAGAGGACGGAGTTGATGTATTTAGATCGACGTTCTCTAGCTGTTGGTCTATTGACCTTGAGTAAGGTCATGTGAGGGACGAAGTCAAAGTTATTGGTGACCGTGATGCCGTCGACGTGGCGTAGAGCCTCGTACAGCATGTCCACGATGGTAGTGAAGGAGGAAGGCACTTTTAGCTTGATGTACAGCACCCTGGCACCGAATGTCGACAATCCTTGAGCTCTGATCACACGTTCAGGATTCTCCTCACTTTCCGGTGTTGGTCCGAAGAGATCCTTGACTTTGTCCTGTAAACTCCGTAAGATGTTGATGGCATGAGTCATGGCCTCCGGAGTCTCCAGTTTGACCATAGCCAGAGTGACGTGCAGAAGTTCGCTGGGCATGGTGCAGCTGCGGAGGACAGGTTCCTCCTGCACAACGTGCTCCTGCACCTCCAGGGACGCTCGCCTTACTTCATCGTTGGTAATGCGAATACAGAAAAAGTGTGTGGCGCGGAGAATCTCTGGTTTCTCCCCAGTACAAACTCTAGATATTAATCCTGTCCCTGAAGTCGACTCTCCAGTCATTATAACAAGGTCATCATCAGAGTCGTCGTCAGGATCGAAAGTCAGAGTTTTTCTCTCAATTTCTGCATCAATTTCTTGAGTAATATGTTGAATAGTGATGGCGTTACCTGCACTCCCAAACACATGATCGAGCCGTTCATTTTTGTCCCAAACTTTGGTACCTTTGTACTTATAATACTGGATACGATGTTGTGGCACGGCCAGCTGATCCAGGTCCACCATCGACAAGTGTTCCCAGGAAAACGATGTGAAAGGCTTTTCCACAACGCCACTGAACCTGTCCAAGTATCCAACTGTGAAGTATTCCTTTCTTAGCTCTGGGTCCCACTGGATCCTCTTCCTCACGTCCCCGGCTGTCTTTAGGGAAGGTTTCTTTTGGTCTATCTCGTCTTCTGGAGGCGGTTTTCTGTGTGGTGTTCTATTTTGGTTCTTGGTATCCTTCAGGTTAGCGTCTGGTATTATAACGTTAAGAGGGTGCAAGTTGAAGCAATTATCGCCAAATCTACATTTTCCTTCTAAATAATACGAGCAGACGGTCTTCGTAACTGGTGTACAATGGTCTGTGGTGTCACTCTCCATGTTTGCAGGCCCATATGGCGTAAACGCCTCTCCAGAGTCGTCTAATGACATCCTGCTTGAGTGAACTGTAATTCCTGTGGATTCAGCACTCTCCAGGACGATCACAACCACACGCGAGGTGTGGTACGATGAGGAGTTGTCCTCGTACTGGTTGTGGCAAGTGATAACGCGCATACCTTTATACGGTCCAGTGTCGCTTGAGTTAACATTGTGCAATCCTCACTCATGCAACTACATGCAATGGCTCAAGGTGTTGGTCATGTTATTTCCATTTCTTTTTTTACGCAACAGATAACCTCTTTACGCAAAAGAATATTTAGGCATGAATGTTTAATATAATTTTAGTATTAATAATGTAAAAGTGTGAACAAAATCAATGCATTCTAAGAGAACGGCGAAAGAAAAAATGATAGTCATGGGAAACTTAACTATTATTTGAGTCATTATTGCACCACATTGTGAATTGTCTGTTAACATTCAAATTAATGCATTATTTTCATACGCCAAAGAACATTTACAAATTCTTAAAACAGAGCCATGTGGAAGCAGTCATGTAGGCTGCCAAATTAGCTTCGTAACAAAAACCACAATCTACACACATTTAACAGATTGCGTCATGTTACACACGCTCAATATATATATACACAAATATGCTAAAATTTTAGCATATTTTATTTATTTATTTATATACAAGGAAGTACAAGGAGGTTGTGAGAGTACACATGTTGGCGACTGAGTACATTCTTGCAAAAATAGTCACAAAAGTATAGTTGGGTTCGAATGACAATCAGGACTCACGGATTCGAATATCAAGAGGTACAGAAATGGTTGGACACGTTTCCTTTCACCTAATGTCTCTGTCTACCTAGCAGTAAATAGGTACACAGGAGTTAGAGTGATGGTCAGTAGTTTGACCTTGTGGGTGACCCCTATATAAGCATAAAGTACATATATTCACAGGTTGCCTGTCCCGGACAACATGAATTAAAACCACCAACACAAGTTCAAGTTCAAGTTCAAGTATGTTTATTGAGATAAGCAATAAATACATCTCAAAGGGATAGAGTAGCTTAGGCTATTTCTACCCCCCTCTACTTCAAGTCCCTCAAGGGGCGCACAAATTCAGCGAGTACAAATAGACATATAACAGTACAAAAATCCCATTTAACATTGCATACAGCAAGTACAGCATATAATTGTTACATTCTTGGGGCAAAATTCTTGTAGCTCCTAAGTATACTGTCTATTATACCATTATCACACATCCAAACAATTTGATGTGGTACACTATTTATTTCCTTATTTCTATATTTTTCAATAAGGTGACACTCTAATACATAATGTTCTAAGGTGTGGGCGGCCGGCATACTACATAATTTACACTCCTTATCTTTTTCACTGACATCAACACCGTATTGCCAGATATATTTATATCCTAATCGTAATCTCATGTAAATTGAATCCTTCCACCAACACGCACAGCGTTTCGGGTAGGTCCTAAGCCTAAACAAAGAATTTGCAGTAAATTCAAAACTAGAAGAAGGAATAGTCAATAGTCAATAACAGATATATGTAATGATATAGGGACATAGAATTTGAATTCATATAATATGCCCGAAACGCTTTGCGTAATAGTGGCTTTAGGCATTGTATGTACTAGCTCTACCTATAAGTCAACCAATCTTTGTAAAAATTTATTGTATGTATGTACCTTACCTAAATAAACATTTTATTTTTTATTTTATATTAATAACTACATCAGAAAAGAGTGGCGATAACATACATTATACTAATGAAGTTACATTTGTAGTTAGTAAAATACTAGGTGATTACGTGATTAGTAAAATACTAGTTTAAGAGAAAACTAAGTACTACATAATATATATATAACCTACCTTACCCCCTAAAATGTCTACCCATGTCTTGCTATTTTCAAACAACACTGTTTGTTGACCAACTTGTATAACTGCTGATTTCCACCATGTTTTTTTCTTTTCCCTTTCTCAACTCAATTTATACTTTGATCTCAATTAGTATTAAGTTTTAATCTAAGTTTTTTCCCACACCTTGCCCGGAACGCTGTGCGTATTAGTGGCTTAAGGCATTGTATGTACTTGCTCTTTCTATAAATCCAACATTATATTTGTAACTCATCTTGTATGTATGTACTTTTACCTGAATAAACATTTGATTTGATGTGTGGTGAGTTAGTAGCACAAAATAGTGTGTGAGTTGCACAAGGTGAGATACTAGGGAGATTAGGAACATAATTGTTCTAGTTCTGATTAGAGAATAGATTGGAAAATTAGTTAATGTCTGTCTGTCGGAGGCCAGACGATTGGGTCTAGCCTCGCCCAAATTTGCAGGGAGAATGGTCTGGGTTACGGAACAGACATAGGCTGGTCTAGTTAGGCCGAAGTTAAATGCTTTAGGGGTAGAAATTGCCTAAGCTACTCTATCCCTTTGAGATGTATTTCTTTCTTGTCTCAATAAACATACTTGAACTTGAACTTGAAGAAGAGAACAGCCATTTGAGAGAGACATACAGAGAGCCCAAGAGACCAAAGAGCAAGAGCTCAACCCCCCGCAAGCCCAAATAGGTGAGTATACAGTTATTTCAGGGCTTCTTGAAATGGGAAGAATGGGAGGGGGGTCAGAGGGGAGGACCGAGAGGGTCAAGATGTCGAAGGGAGAGAACAATAATACGAGAAACAGGAAGGTGAACCGCCATGCGACCTCAGATACAACAGACAACAGAACATTACTGGTCCCTACTACTAAAGTAGTCTACAGGAGCTGCTCCATGGCTCACAACATGGAGTAGAGGCTCCTGAAAAACATTATTTATATAAATGAGACCCCTACAATATTGAACCCTACCAGCCACAATATTGAACTAATAATATTTTAGGTACCTTGAAGGGAAAACTCTTAACGTGTATGGCACTTTTTATTTAAATTCATTTAAGTAGTTTATAGTAATTATTATTATTATTAAAACTTTATAAGTATGTATAACTAATTTATGAGAAGTTACTCATTATAACTTAGTTGACTTAATAATTATCACTTTCCTCCCCGGCGGACACAAGATTGTGTCCGCCGGGGATCACTTGAAAATCTGCAGGAGACATATTTTTATGTCTGACGAACAAATATTTCTATAAAACTCAATTCTTATCCGGTCGACTTGGGGATAGTATGAACATATTTGCCATTAAATTTACGTTTTCTCTAATAGCCACATAGCCTATTTGAGAGAACGGCATTGTCTTGTATTTTCGTGGTAAAACTATTGTATTGTTGACACGACGAGAGTAATCGACGAAGTTTCTTTATTGGTGCCGGTCTAACGCATTCTTGTGTGACATTTTATACATAAGTTCTTCTAGAACATTCTATTGCAAACACATTGGTATAAAAATAAAATACGTACATAGAAAATTAAGGTCAGAACAGTGAAAAGAGTATACACTTTTCAATACTGGTTTCACCAATGTGTGGTAACGGGTACCGCCCACTTTCCATACTCTTGCGGGTAGGCCGCGATCATGATTCTACATTTATATGCATATTTTCGTGTGGGGAATTTTATTGCAATCTCAGTGATACCAAATTTAATGCTATAGGACAAGTGTGGAGTTGACAAACCTGAAAAGAATGAAAACATCTCGTCGCTGTTTGGAGCTCATGGCTAGTGATCCACGTAGTTTCTTTATTTGGTGGTGGTTTAAATCACGGTTTGGTGACATTTTATACATATATTCTTCTAGAACATTATATTGCAAACACATTGGTACAAAAATGAAATATGTACATTAAAAATTAAGGTCAGCAGAGTGAAAAGAGTATACACTTTTCCGTGTTGCCGCTCGATAGCCTGAAAGGCTGATTCCACTTCAAGCAAGTTTTGGTCTTGTTTGTGGAGAGCGCTAAAGTGTTTTAGATCATTTTAGCACGGAAGTTAACTAAGTCACAGTACTAGTCTATCCTAGTTGCAATTGATTCATGAGTGATGCAGTTATTCAATTAAATTGAGTGTAATTCAATTATTCAAAATATATAAACATTTGTTTTATTCGGTCCATCCTTTATCAATTTTACATATTATAAGTAATTAAAATTAAATCACACTTATGAATACATAAGAATATAATAAACAAAATTCTTAATCAACATAAAAAGCAATACCTGTATCGTATTTTTATATATGTGGGAGCTGTACCTTTTGGTAGTCACGTGACTGTCGCCATAGCAACGCTGGGAGTGAGGGACGCTACCGCCCAGCTGACGCGCCTAACATCTAACCTGCCTGTACTGACCCTTTTAAACCTTCAAGGTGAGTCTGTTGTAGTTTATTGTCTATATGTTGACAATAAGAGGAGGACGGCAATTCGTTAAATATTGTCCAAATTCACCAGAAAATGTTTAATATAAATCCGTAGTTATTAAATAAGGATTGTTAAGTTGAGGCTTCTGCGTGCTGGGGGACTAAATATTGCTGAGAGCTGTGTTGTTAGTGTTAATGTTTTAAACTTAGGTGTAGACCCCCAGGTCCCTAATCTAACATATCAGGTAAGATGAAAGGGTACATTGTAGCAAGGTATTTATATCAACAAATAGCTATAATCTAACTTATAAATTATAAATCATATGAAATTGTTACGACGAATTAATACATTAAGATGCACTTCAATATTGGATAAATTAACCGTGTGCATTAACTTTGAGTCCGGCGGAGGCTTCCTCCCCTTACCGCCAAGTCCTAACATGACCAAAGATGACCCTCCAGTGTCCCACATGACCTGAGAAGACTTCCTCCAGCAGGACAATGTTGACCCGGCGAGAGGCGGTGATCGAGGAGCCGTTCAGAGCCCGGCGCTACCGGGACCACAGACGCAAGGTGGGTCTGGTGCCCATGCGGGGGGAGGGATGGCAGGGTATGTTAGGGACGACCAGGACAACATGCTACCTTACGGGCTCACCATAGCCCGTGCTACATGGACATTTCCTTCTGAGTAGCTAAATCTAAAACAACAAACAACAACAGGTAGGGTAGGGATGATAGGGAGAGGGGATAGGGCCGGATGAAGTGTTTGCCAGGGTGCTTAAAGAATGCAAAGAGGAGCTTTGTGACCCACTGTCAACCATATTTAATAAATCAATAGAGTCAGGCAGAGTGCCAGAGTTTTGGAAAGTTGCTAATGTGATACCAGTTTTTAAGAAAGGAGATAGATCACTTGCGTCTAACTATCGACCAATTAGCCTAACGTCTATTGTGGGAAAGTTACTCGAATCTATAATAGCAAATAAAATTCGTCTTCATCTTGAAAAACATAAATTAATAATTGAGTCGCAACATGGTTTTATAAATGGCCGTTCATGTTTAACAAATTTGTTATCTTTTTATTCTAGCATTGTTGAGGCAGTTGATAGTGGTAAGGATTGCGATGTTGTATACCTTGACTTTAGCAAAGCTTTTGATACAGTGCCACATGAAAGACTGATTAAAAAGATAGAGTCTCATGGTATTGGGGGTGCTATATTAAGCTGGATTAGGGCATGGCTATACCAAAGGAAACAGAGAGTTAGTATAAATGGATTGTAAGTGGAGTGCCTCAAGGCTCTGTCCTGGGACCTCTGTTGTTTATAATATATATAAATGATGCAGTATAACCACATATGAAAAATAGAAAATGCTTAACGCGTTTTCGGCTAATTCGCCTTTATCAGAGCAAAGTAGAATGATTCATTCTACTTTGCTCTGATAAAGGCGAATTAGCCGAAAACGCGTTAAGCATTTTCTATTTTTCATATGTGGTTATACTGCATACTTGGATCAGTGTTTTTGTGATCATTGTTGCATATAAATGATTTAGATTCAGGTTTGAGTAGCAACATTTGCAAATTTGCCGATGATACGAAAATCGGTAGGGAAATTAATTCGGAGGAGGACTCACTATCACTTCAAGTTGATCTAGATAGGGTTTTGAAATGGTCAAAGGATTGGCAGATGCAGTTTAATGCTGATAAATGTAAAGTTCTGAGGTTAGGTAATGATGATTGAGTTACAAGATACGAGCTAGATGGTGTTGTGATTGCGAAGTCGGATTGCGAAAGGGATCTGGGAGTTATGATTAGTAAGAATTTAAAACAAAAGGATCAATGCATAAATGTTCGTAATAAGGCAAATCGGACACTTGGATTTATTAATCGCAGCGTTAGTAACAAGACACCTGGTGTGGTTCTCAAGCTATATCTTGCTCTAGTTAGGCCCCATTTAGATTATGCAGTTCAGTTTTGGTCGCCATATTATAGAATGGATATAAATTCACTTGAACGTGTCCAGCGTAGGATGACTAAGTTAATTCCCCAAATTAGAAATCTTTCATATGAAGAAAGATTAACAAAGCTTAAGTTGCATTCACTGGAAAGGCGAAGAGTTAGGGGTGACATGATAGAGGTTTACAAGTGGATGAATGGACATAACCGGGGGGATATTAATAGGGTATTAAAAGTATCAACACAGGACAGAACACGAAACAATGGGTATAAATTGGATAAGTTTAGATTTAGGAAAGACTTGGGTAAATACTGGTTCAGTAACAGGGTTGTTGATTTGTGGAACCAATTGCCGCGTAACATTGTGGAGGTGGGGTCCCTCGATTGTTTCAAGCACGGGTTGGACAAGTATATGAGTGGGATTGGGTGGTTATAGAATAGGAGCTGCCTCGTATGGGCCAATAGGCCTTCTGCAGTTACCTTTGTTCTTATGTTCTTATGTTCTTAGGGAGACGAGAAACAGGGACAGACTCGGACACAGCCGGATACCCCTTGCTAGTAAAGAAATAATTTACACTTTAATATCAACTCTGGATGGCATGCAAGAACCCTTCATCACGACTTTCAATATTTCTCAATATTATGAAGAATTATCTATTATCTTCTATAAGTTCTTCTATAAGAACTATTATCTTCTGAGAGAAAGAGATAGGGAGAGAGAGAATTATAGGTCTGACTGGAAAGTCGTTTATATAGTTTTAGAAGACCATAAAGCCAACTGGGTTTAGATCCGGTTGCATAAAGGTCATTATAAACTTTATCACCTGTATGACTTTCAAGAGGTCAAAGAAACCTATATAATTTGTCTTCAAGCCTTATAAATAACTTTACATGACTGACGTGTAATAAGTATGGCTGTGAGGGTTTGAAGTGTAAGCCAGCGGACGGGCTGTTGTTGTTAAAGATTTAGCTACTCGGAACAAGTTCCAAGTAGCACGGGCTATGGTGAGCCCGTAGTGAACTTACCTAGCACAGGAGCGGTGCTGGGGGACGGGCGCCAGTACCTACATATATAACACATCTCTACTGCAGGTGAGGGGCGCCTTGCCAAGGATCGACGCCGGGCCGCCGAGGGAGTACCCCCACCTGGTCCTCAAGCTGAAGAAGCTGCGGCTCGAGCTAGACCGTCAGGGCAAGATCTGTCAGGACAACATCAAGCTCGTCCACCGCATGGCCATCATCATGAGGACAAAGAGACTGGACAACATCAATATGGCTCCCAGAGGGTAAGCTAAGGTGTGAGGCACGCACATATGATGGGGGTGTGAGGCTCACATGGGTCGAGGACCACATGTAGTGGGCAAAGGCTTGGCTTGGTAATCTGTCGGGGGTTCCAGGACTGACTGCTCGGAGAAAGAACAAGCTGGAGGCACTCAGGCTGCGTGAAGCTTTCACGAGAAGGGTTGGTATAGGTTGGTAGGAGAGAGAAGGTTAGTAGGTATGTTAATGGTAGACGCACCACCCACACGTCCGGAGGCTAACCATAGCCCGGGCTACTTGCCCCGCTCCTGTGCCAGGTAAGTTACGGGCTCGCCATAGCCCGTGCTACTTGGAACTTGTTCCGAGTAGCTGAATCTATAACAACAACCACCCACACGTCTGTCTAGTGGTCGATTGTATTCACCTAGTTGTGCTTGTGGGGGTTGAGCTCTGCTCTTTCGGCCCGCCTCTCAACTGTCAATCACTCAACTGTTACTAACTACTAAGTAATTTTTTTCACACACACCGCCAGGAAGCAGCCCATAACAGTTGTCTAACTCCCAGGTACCTATTTACTGCTAGGTAACAGAGGGCATCAGGGTGAAAGAAACTCTGCCCATCTGTTTCCGCCGGCGCCGAGATCAAACCCGGACCCTAGGATTACGAATCCTTAGCGCTGTCCACTCAGCCACAGGCCCCTAACTACTTAAATAGAACTACTGTTATAGTTCCCAGGTGTCTGTTTAGTGTTAGACTGTTGCAACACCCACACCTTTGTTGACAGACCATTCGAGCCTCGACCTCGGACGTCAACCCGACGGAGCGCAGTAACTGGAGTCCCCGTGGAGGAGGACAGATGGGCCCAGGGCGGGTCTTTCCTGGAGCAGGTCACCTCAGAAGTGGAGCGCCACCTCAAACCTTCCCCGCCCGGCAAGCTCATCCAGGTGTGTACAATGCCCCTCATTACAATTACTCATCCGGATCATGTACAGTGCCCTTCATTACATCAAGTTCACACAGGTGGATACAGTGCCCTTCATTACTATATCAGTTAAACCAGGGGAGTACAGTGTTCCTCATTACAACAGGAAGTTCATCCACAATTGTGCATTGTCCCTCATCATATTAGCGACCAAGATGATTCCAAAATGCAACCTTTGTGCCTGTATATTGTAATTGTTATTGTAATGGCTGATGGAGCTACTGTTCCACGATGAAATTCACTTGTGGGACAAGCCTATAATACTTTGTAACATGTTCTCAGCACCGAGCCCCGGCTGGTCTGTGTAGGGTGCCCCGGGTAGGGCCTCCGCCATCACCCAGGACCCCTGCCCGTCGGAGTCATCTTGTGCCCACCATCACCCTACCCCTAACCAGCCCCAGGTAGTGTAATGCCTATTCAAATTTTTATAAACTAGCTGTGGCACAGCACAGCCTAGCATCATTTTCAGTTGAGCGTTTACCATTGTATGATATATTAGACACATTGGATGACACAATAGAGCATACATGTCCTAATTATGACACTATAAAACATGGAGCATTTCGTGTCTTGAATTAATAATAATAATAATTTATTCAGGTAAAAGTACATGCATACAAAATGAGTTACAAACAGAATGTTGGATTTCTAGATAGAGGTGATAGAGGTAGTTTATTCTTTGCCTAAAGCCACGCAGACGCACAGCGTTTCGGGCAAGATGTAGGGAAAACTTAAAAAACTAATTGAGATCAAAAGCATGAATTGAACTTTGAAACAAATAACAGTAATTACATGTTGAATGGAACAGAAATTGCAACAGAAGTAATTTTAACTAAATAAACAGACGTAGTACAATTTTCTTTAAGATTAAGTTGAGTGTAACATCTCACCCCGTCGGCAGGTCACGCAGGAGCCCGTCGCCCACCACTGCCTCAGAGAGGTCCTCGGCCAGATGTCGTCGCGGCCGAGAGACGACCAGACTGTTGCCCATGACCGGCACCGCCCGTCGCCCCAGCATCACCGCCTCTCTTCCCTCCCCACACGACGACAACTCCAGCTCGGCCGCTGACGAGGGCGACTTCGAGGAAAATGAAGAAAGCGAACACGCAGAGGACAGTCAAGAAGCCGACGAGCAGACTGAAAATACGGAAGAGGAGAACGAAGAAGCAGATGACAAAACAGACGAAGAAAATGAGAGCTCATCAAAGGATGATTATCACAATAACAGTGAGAGTGAAGGCAAAACAGGTAGTGTTAAGGAGGAAACTGATAGTGACGACCGAGTCTCCGCCATCCTCCTGCACCATCACCCGAACATCACCATCGACGAGCCTAGTGATGACGAGTTTTATACTTAGGCGTCAAGCTCAACTGTCTTATGGTATATCAGGTATAGCTTTCACCCAAATGCCGAACCATTCTCTTCTACTTGTTGGTGAAACACACGGGAGACATTTCCCGTCACGCAGGGTGCAGTCGCACCTCCATAGATCTCCAGTATCAGCTCTTGATACTAGTAATGGCTCAAAAGGGCCGCCACTTACGGGCTATTCATGCCCGTGCCACCTTTTAGGTGGCTTAATCTTTATCAATCTGGTGAAACAACCGATGACGGAATATGTATTGTTGGCCCATTAGTGATGTACACGTTTTACGAAGCAAAATAACTTTTTCCTTTAACATTTATTATAATTTTTATTTATTTATTATGCATCCTATACCCATCTGGGGGGCGATGGTGGAAAGGGTAAGAGGCACATAATGGGTTCAGGAACTCGACCCCATAGTTTGTTTAGCTAAGCAATTGATGGCAACGAATTACACTCATAATATGATCGGACATTTGTCATATTTTTAGAGTATCTCTCTCGTAATATACATACTATTACGTACTGACTATGAGGGCTGTCAATGGTCTGCTGCGGTCAGAAGGTTTGGGACTCCCACCACAATGTTACTGTATTACAATGTTAATTTACCAAGGGTAGCACTTTCACCAATGTAATTCCTCATTTTTACTTACCCTCTGGAAGTTACACATTATTAAATGTAGTAGGCATCCATCAGTCTCGGGAGACTACGGACATGCGCACTGGCGTCGGCCTCTGGTCTGGAGTGACCTCACCAGGGCGCAAAGCCAGGGTAGGTTGATTCGCAGAAGCTGTTACCCAGGCAGCAGGTCCCCCCCCCCCCTCTCCACGGCGCTGAAAGTCTCCAATGGAAAGGCTTACATACAAATGTAACAAGGGTACATTATTAAATGTACCCTTGTTACATTACCAAGTTTAATATACTGTACAAGGGTAATCTCACGATGATAAACTGCCATTTTAATTCAACAAGTTACAGTGCATTGTCAACTTACAACGTTAATGTTATCGAGTCATTTTACCCAGGGTACCTGTGTTAATTATTATACATTTAAATTTATATAATTTTTAATTGAATTTACTAATAAACATTTTTCGTCATAGTGTGTTTGAATCAACGAGATGAAAATTGGGGTGTAATTAGGTCTTGATATCATTATTCGTATAAATTATATAACCTGAAAAAACAAATGTAAGTGCAAACCACTTTTTAACTAGTTTAGTTTATTTATTATGCACCTCATACCCATCCAAAGGGTTACAGAGGCACATAATGGGCTCAGGGACTGAACTGCAACATTCATTTAGCCAAGTTACAAAATTCAAGGCACATCGTCACACAAACAATACTTGAAAAAACGTTGTGGGGCGTCGATGACTGAGAGCGTCATGCGTCACGTCTCGGAGTTTGCCTTGATAGCCTAATGCCGACACGTAAAATTATCATGTTAAATCGTTTACATTAAAGGTTAATAAACTCTTTAACACAAAAGTATAGCATCTCCCTTTTTCACTTATCTACATTTATTAATTTTATTCACCGTTCTACGCTATTTGCCTTTTGATAGGTGTGAATTATATAAACCGGTGGAATGTTTTGTAAAAGAAAAATCATAATCTAACCCAAGACAACAAGCACGGTGTTGTCATTTTGCACTCGCCAAGAAACCGAAGGGTAAAAGAATACTTTTCCTCGACTGTACCATTCTTGTAAATTAATTCATAGTAATTAGCCTTCGCTGGAAATTAGCCAAACAGTCGCTGCCCAATAAACTCGCCACTCCTGGCAAATTTAAATTTTTTTATAGTAATGAATGAGAACAAAGTAGAGCTTTAAGGTGACTCGAACCCATGACTAGTAGACTGGAAGATGCAACCTTTACCACTGGACCACCAAGACCTACAGATGAGGGTTGTATAGTGGTAAGGGATGCAGCTGGCAGTCTGCTAGCCGTGGGGTAAAGTCAACTAACACATCCAGTTTATTTTATCATCGACACAAATAATAATTCAGTGTGTCTGGGAACAGGAAGCCTGAGTGTATTCATACACGATAGACTTACATCATGTCTATTCATACCATTCTGCTAGGCAGAATGGCAATATCTCCCTGGCATTAACCAGAGCCTCGCTGATAAAGAAATTTTGTTTATTATTCTCAACATTATTATGTTCACGGGGAACAGTCAACTGTGGGTCATGCGTATATAGTATTTGGATTTTAAAACATAACGCTAAATTTAATTTTTATTAAGCATAGGTATACACAGCAATGTGTTGCTACCCTATTCTATATGAAGGATTACGAAGAGTATATTAAAAAACTAAGTTCATCTAATATCCCCATCTCGCAGGATGGTTAGTCATACATGGAATTAGGAGATCATGAAATCCGAGACTAATCTATTAGCCTGCACTAGCATATCTGTGTAGAGCACAAGAATATCTTCCAATATTCGTGAGCATATGAATTACAGAGCTCAAAGTACCTCATTCCATTAAGTCTAAAATTATTGATAACAAGGTAATTAGATATAATGTGGGAGAGTATGTCCTAGCTCTTATTCACGAAGTTTACAATTGGAATGTTTACCATTAAGGGGTTCATTACCTACAACCACCTGCTATAGATATCGATATCCCAGCCTAATTCTGCAATTACAATGTGACCTGTCTAGTGGATGTTTTATGTTGTACGTACATACAGTTCTTGGTTCTAAACATTTAACCTTTTATACCCATGCTTTCTGGCCTTTGTCAATGAATGTTCTGCCATCCCTGATAACCTTCAATGCAAGTTATCGCGATATTTTGATGTAGAATATAAATCGGATTATTAATAATAAATACATATATAAATTAATTATATATATAATTAATTTATATATATGTATATATTTATTATTAATAATCCAATTTATATTCTACATCAAAATAGTGATAACTTGCATTGAAGGTTAATATAATATATATAAATATAATATATTATGCGACACAACTTAAATGGTCCAAGTTATATACATCAGAAAAAAACTCCTCATAAAGGGTTCAAACTCAGACAGTGTGGCACTCCATGCACCTTCACATATCTAGTACCTTACCAAATACACCACACTGACTTCAGTATATATAATATACATGTATATTATATATAATATATACTGTATGTCTATCATTATCATAAACTAGCCACAGCATAGTGGATTTATACTATCTAGATGTGAAGTAATCATCTTTTTCTCGTACATAACTCATAACATAAATCAACAAACATTTTTATAGGTAGCAATGGCTTTTATCATGTAATACACTAACACACACTATTATAACGTAGTAATGATGTTTATAAATTGTACACTAATGAACACTGTATTATGAAAATTTACCTTGATCACACACGCATACTAATGCACTCTGTATTGTAATGTGGTACACTAACACGATATCATTAAGTAGTATGATTTTAATCACTTGCATACACTTTTGAACACTGTATTATAACGTAGTGAAACGACTTTCAATGGCTTTTTTATTCCATGATTCTACCTCTTCTCTATTTGGTGTTGGTTTGATTGAATGCAAACAATGGGATATCACTGTCACTGAAGGATTGTAGACTAGTAGTTGTTCTGTTGTTGATATCGAGATATGAAGCCCGATCAAGAGATACTCTAACATGAACCAATACTGGGAGTTCCATGGCTTGAACTTTAATGACCAATGTGTGATTACAGTACCTGGAGGTGCTGTATTTGTTGTTGCAGGACCGGGATATCCTACAGTCGATTCGACGTTGCATGACCAGAAGGCTCTGTGGCTGGTGTTTAATAACCAGTAGATGTATGTCATGAACTGTCTTGAGCAGGAGGTGCTGAGGTTGATGTTTCATGTTCAAGTAACTCCTCTGGTACAATTATTGTTGGCAAGCCATTTGCCGATAAAAGACTATTGAATGTTTGCACATACAGGCGAATATTAGACCCTGCTATTCTTTTAGCATAGTTGCTTATGTCATTCACTGTGTGATAGGTTGCTGCTATGCTGAAAGCATTTTGGTATGTGTCATTCACTGTGGGACAGGATGCAGCAGGTGGTGACACTGGCTGTGCTTCTTGTTGTTGACGTGATTGTGGAGAACCTCTCGAGGCTGCCGGCTGTTGTGCGCCAGCACCGAGCGTAGGATCACTATTACTTGACACAGCAGGGTTCACAGCTGACTGAATATTAAATGTGGTTGACGACTGGGATGTCGGTCGAGTTTGGGATGAGGCTTGCCTAGCCTCTGTCAATTTTTTAATTTCCACTTTTCTAAATGGACATTCAGTTGAAATTGCAGTATGTTCTCCTTCACACAGGATGCACTTTAATTGGGTTGACTCACATTCCCGGAAGTTGTGGTCTAAAGAACAGATACTACACTTGCCTACCTGCAGGGTGCAGCTTTTAGTATAATGTTCGTAACTAAAACACTTGTAACACTGTCTTATTCGGAAATTTCTCTCTTTCCGAATTTGATTTGGTGGTACGAGGAGGCCTCGGCACTTGAACCCATGTATTTCTGCATATGTAGCATCATCAGGAGAGTTAAATGTTAATTTTAGCGTGTGTTTCTGGTTGAACTCCGGCGTACTCTGGGGAAACTCTTTCCAAATAATCTTTGCCGAAACGGCAGTCAAGAAAGGGTTTAAGTCGTTGACACTTTTAACAATTTCAGTGGTAGAACTCTCGGTAATTAAAGTACTGATACGCCTCACGAAAATGGTCCTCTCAGCCTGGTCGCATCGAAGAGGTTGCAGTAGGAGGCCAGCT